TTGTTTTGTTTTGTTTTTTCCACGACAGTCTTACAAGTGCTCTCTTCACTCTAAGCTTTCTGAATGGACTCAATTTTAACAGATAGAGCCAACAGTCTGCTAAATTACAGTAACTTGCAATTGAAACAAATACTTGCAGATAAATATGCAAACATATCTCTACTAAATCACGTCATCTTTATCGAACTGACAAGAATGCCATGACTAAGCTGAAGGACATAAAGAGCACAAAAATTAGAAGAGCGCAGTCACATGTTAGCAGGTAAGCCTTCCTACATACTATGGAAAAACATTTTTAAAAACATTCTTAAAACATGGAGGAAGGCATGGCTAACAGACTATTGAAGATATTGAAGAAAATAGCTAAAATCACAAATATACTTCTTGTCTTCACAAACACAAAATCTGCTTCACTGGCAACTAAATGCCCTTAAGGATAATACTCTATGTGTGGGAACAGCTTCATGGGTATGTAAGAACAGAAATTAGCATTAAAAATACATGTGTTATAATAAACTTGCACAAGTGTCTATGTGCTTCAGAGGTTAAGATCTTTACCTAGATTAGGAATAATTACTTTCTCCTCCTATGGAGTACAGGAAGCCTTATTAGAGCTTGCCTTCCTGTAAAACATCTGGCACTGACTGACACTCACTGGCTGCTTGACTAAATGAAATGTTGGTCTAGTGACGCAAGAAAAATGTTTATCTCTGCGTCATGAAAATCGACACTGAAAAATACCAGCCTATACGCTTCACATTTCATTCATGGGCAGCTTTTGACACTGAAATACTCATCCCTCAGCAAGACTACTCAATACTGCCACTGAAACATTGTTCTGAAAGGGCAGGGTTTCCAGCCTCCTCACCCATCAGAGCTTGTTGCAGAGAACTGCAATCGCTCTAGTCACCCCTGGCTATGCCTTGCATCTGCAGCCACAAGCCCATCGGAAATACTCTCTTCTTTGAAGAATAGGAAGATGCTGAAAAGGATTTGGGAGATTTCCTGCAACGGAGGAAGATAAATAACCGGTGAAGCCTCCAAGGCTCAAAGCATAAAAGCTCACTGAAGCTAATGGAATGGCTGGACCCTGAAAGCTCATGAGAACTTTTTCACAAAGCAGCAATAACCTCCAGATGATCCTTACATTACTCTTAATAATATGTATGCCCATCAACAACAAAGTGGTTCGTATTTCTGCTGCAGCAATCTAAGGGGTGGGAGAGGTGTCTGAGCAGCATTTACAAAAGCACTCTAGAAAAGAAAATGGACTAGAGCATTATCCTCCTCTCACAGATACCATCAAAGGCACGGTGCTTCTGGCCACTACAGAGAAAATATCAATGAGTTACTGGCCAAAATGATACCCAATGAAAATATATTGGTAACTGACTTTTTCAAGTGTGATCAGAGAAGTGGATATTGATCATCTTTTTTTTTTTTTTTTTTTAAGTCAGAAAACAAGGCCCAAACCTGTTAAGAAAATGGGATCTGTTTATATGAAATCAATTTGGATCAAAGCCAGAAGATGCTCAAAAGAAAAGATAAAAGATGCACACGTAATGACAAAAAGAAAAAGATTATTTGTTAATTATTTGGAACAGACAGGGGAAAAGTCACCTCACAGAAGTTCACTTTTATCTACATTGCTTTCAACACAAGAAAAACAACATAGAGAAGCCCAAACTAGCACACTTTAGAAACTGAGGAATAAGAAAATCCCAGCGACTTCATGAGATGAAACAATACAGGACCCACAAATAGCACACAGATATTCTTCACTTTATCCTTAGTTTTCTGTATGCCACTGTTGCAGTTAATTTTAGAGGGGTATGTTACACAGCTTTTTTCTTCGCTGTTTTAAAAATCAGCAGCATAATCAAATGGTACAAGCATGTTGAGAACATACTCGACACAAAACTAGCTGTTGATATTCTAATATCAATTTCATACTTTAAATGACTTAGTAAATGCCAAGTCAAAGCTCAGAACTTTTATGAGCATCATCTTAAGAGTACTTAAGAAGAAAATATATGTTATTCTAATAAGCAAAAGTGGTTTTGCTATACTGAAATAAAGATATTTAAATTGCAAGTATTTATTATTTTTATTACTAAAATCAGAAAAACATGGAATTGTGATTGCCATGTGAAGCCAAATATTTAAAATCGTAACTTCTTTTAAAGTGTTTTTATTACATTTTGGACCACAATTTGTAAATAAGAGCACAGCAGATCTAAATAACTGATCAACAACTTAAAAGCACAAAGGTGGCTTCTGCTAGAACTAGGGGCATAGCTGCTTTTCCCCTCCAAAACAAAACCAAAGTCCATGCCCCTGCACACAAGCGATTAGTCTGAAATTTCCCTGTAATTGTACAAGGAAACAATGAGCACACACCTTCACTGGCATAAATCTGTGACCAGATCAGTTGCTTAATTCAGAAGGACTACTAAAGGATTTGGCTAAATCTCCAAGAACATTTATGGCTGAAGTAAAAGAGGGATGGGGAGACAAGTGTTGTTGTTACTGGGCTGAAGCCCGTTAAATAACTTTTAATTTCAAAGCTACATTAAGGAAGCTTTATGTTGTGTTGACCTCTCCACAATACACACTGAAACTACTCTTCTTCAATCTTGCAACTGAGAAGCCCCAAACGGGACATTGTGCTTAGAAGACTTCCAGAGCGCCAGGCACATACTAGGGACACGCATTTCCAAGCCAAGAACCTCTTAGCTCTGCTCACAGATGAAGCTGACACGATGAACAGTCCTTTAGATTTACATTAGAATTGGTATTTCAAGTATGAATTATGAAACACAAAAGTGAACTGCTACCTCATCATGAAGCCGTTCAGATGTGATTAGAACGAAACTTGCAATTTAGATTTGAAAAACACTATCTTAGTTGTAAGTTGTATACCTATTATCAGCCAGGAGACAGTATCACAGTTTGAGACTTTTTACTGTTCAGTTTTTGCACAAGTGCAATTAAAGTGCACCTTCCTGCATTTAAAGAAACGCCTAATAAGAATCTGAAGATTTCTAAGAAGCTTGCTCTTCAAAAGCTGTTTAGAAGATTTCAAACCCCTAAAAACCAAAACCACCACCACAAAAAACAACCAAGAAAATAAAAAACCTCAAGTATTTCTGGGATCTCTGGAAACAGAGATGGAAACGCATTACCTGCATTCATGGACATGGCATCACATGCGTTCTGATAAGAAAAGATATTTCACAGTCCAGCTCTAAAGTGTAACCCCTTCCTTTAAGGGCTTATGTGATAAACCTGGAGAAAAATTTCTGTGAATTTTGCCTCATTCCATCTTGTGAGCCAAATTTTCCCAAATATGCTTCCACTGATTAATGGACTACACCAAGGGCCAACTTGGTCCTGCATGAACGGTCAAAGAAGTACAAAAATTAAAGCCTGAAACGTAGTACGTTCCAAATAATGACTTCTAAGGAAGACAAAGTTTTTATCAATTTAGCCTAGCACGTCAAGATTTCTCCCATCATATGTAAAAATCCATGGCATGTAGGTAACCTGGTGCTGATCTCGCTATAGCTTCTCATCTTGAAAGGTACTTCATACAAGATCTATGAAATTACACAGAAGGTGTGGTTTATTTTAAGGATCAAAATTCAAGAGATCATGTTATTATGCTAAGAAAAGAAAAAAGGAAGATATGATTTTAGCAAACTTGTGAAAATACTTTCACATCTCAAGTATTACAATTTCCTTAATCTCTCTCCCTTGAAATCCGTAACTCTACAGAGAGGTATTTTAAATTCAAGTACCTTTTGAAAAATAAAGGAAAACAAATCTCACAGTGAGAGTACGAAGACTAAAATGCAGCAAAAGGTAAAAAGTAAATTTTCACACAACTTCCATCAGCTGAAGAGTACTGACACAATGTTGAAAGACCTTTATCAGAGAGCAGCATGTTACCAGAAGATGCCATACCATCATATGTAATATTTTATGTTTAAAATGAATGAATTAATTCAAACTGCTGTTTATCTGCAGTGATTCCTTTGCGTCAAAAGCAAACCAGGTCATAAACAGGTTTTCACACTGATGCTATTTGCTTATTCACTTCCACGTTCTTTACCACACCACAAATTCATATATTCACACAGACAATGTTAGGGGAGAATAATCCGTAATCTGCGACATCCTAGCACAAACACTCTGACTGGGACTTAACAAGCAACTGCTGTATCACCATTAAGGCTTGCTTTCGACAACAGTAACCCCCAGTACGTGTAGTTTTACCTCAAGTGTATCATAAAGACATATCCCCTGGTACTGAAAATATCTAGGCAGTATACGCATCACAGGGAAGATACAAACAAGCTGTACAGCAGGTATCACAGTTGGAATGTAACAGTAAAATAGTTCATCCCTTGATCAGAATGACTTGCTTCGCAAATGGTTAGTTCATAAAACGGTATTTTTCTTCCTTAACGTAATTTTCTTCTCATAACAAAGTTTAGTGTGAGGTAGAAGTACGTTTTTTTCTCATGCATTTATAGTCAGGCTTTGATGTTCATACTTAAATGCAATGGAAACACAGAATCCAGTAAAGTTGTAATACTTAAAATAAAAGCTATAGTAGAAACTTATTCCCCAATCTTTCCCAAAAAATCGGCTTGAAAAATGCTTGGAAGCTGATATTCAAAGTTCTTTACATACAAAAATGAAGAGGCTATGTTACATTTAATATTTGTACATCTTTTCTTGAAATGCTTTACAGTGATCTCAGACCTCCATGCAGTTAATCCATGAAACATTTAACACAGAAAAAAAAAAAAAGCACCAAGGAAATGAAAAAAAAAAAAACAACCCAAACAAGCCTCAAGGAAATGCAAAAAAAAAAAAAAAAAAAAAGAAATGTATTAAGTTATTTAGCTATTTTTAATATTTTTTTAACGTTTCCCACAAGAATGCAAAAATGGGGAGGATGCATCATAAAAACTAGGTTAAAATATACCCACCCCTAGCCGAAAGCTTTTTGGTGTTGATAATTTTGGCAGCGTACTCTTGTCCTGTGGTGATTTTCATACATCTTCTCACGACGGAGAACGCCCCTCTGGAAAGCAAGAAGCGGACAAAGTGTCAGTCCAGCTGAAACAGTTCACTGCCATTACCGGCACGAGGGTTTTAATGGGTTTCAGGGAGAGGTGTGATGTTGGCAGAATTAAAAAAGGAGAAGGAAAAAAAAAAAAAAAAAAAAAAGAAATCAGGGAGTGCAGGTCAGCATTGATTTTATTCACCCGAAGAGTAAACTCTGGCCAGAAAGGCGGCACAAGCCGGGCGAGCGAAGCCGTCCCCGGCGGGAGGGCACATTCGCACGACCGGCGGTGGCCCCGTCCCCCCGTGTCCCGTCCCCCCTCCCCACGGACACGGGCGCCCCGCCGCGCCGCCAACATGGCGATCGGGGCCGGGGGCCGCCGGTCCCGCCCCCGCCCGCTACAGCCGTAATAATAATAATAATAATAATAATTAAGAAATTCATTAAATAACCCTAAGGCAGCTCCCGCGTCGGGAGGACGAGGGGCAGCTCCCCGCCGCCAGCCCGAAGCCTGTGGCCGCTCCGGGGCTGGATATACCCGGGGGGGCGGGCGCGGAGCCCCGGTCCCCCCCCGCAGATAACGCCCAGGTGGGGTGTGGGGTGAATGGGGGGGGGGGGGGGGTTGGAAGGCGGGAGCCAGGGCGCTCCCCTCGCTGGCCCCGCCGGGCTTTCGGCACCGGTAAGGCGACCCCCTGTCCGCCCCCCCCCCCCCCCCCCAGCCCCGAGCCCTCACAGCCGGGGGTGCCTTCCCCGCCGCGCCCCAGTAACGGCGGGTCCCCAGCCCCGAGCCGGCTGCCCCGCGTCCGTTCGCCCAACGGCGGGGCTCCGTCCTTACTTCCCGAGCTCCTCGAAGAGCTGGTACTCGTCGGTGAACCGGGTGCAGGTGGTGGTTGAGGCCATCATGAGGGCGGGCGGCCGCCGGTACCTCCGGCGGCCAGGGACGGCGAGGCGGTGACGGCGGAGGGGCTGTGAGGCGAGGCGAGGCTCCGCGCCGGCTTCTCCTCCTCCTCCTGTGACGGGGCTGCCTCCGCGCCCTCCTCCCCGCCAGCTGGCGCGTCCTCCTCCCCGCGCACGGCTCCGGTCTCCCCTCCCTTCGCCCTTTAGGGAAACAAATCAATACAGAAGCGCCTCTCCCCTGCTTCCCCCCAGCCCGCCGGCGGAGGTGCCGCCCAAAGGCAAAAGCCAAGCCGGGGCGGGGGGCGCGGCGCCGCCGTGCTGAGGGGGCGCCCTCCGCCTTCCTCCCAACCGCCGCGCCTCCGCCCCGGCTTCCCGGTACCGTGCCTCCCCCTAGCGACCCCGGCCGCGCCCGCCCGGTCGCGGCTCCCTCCCCGCCCCACCGGGGACGCCGTAGCGGGGGGACCCTCACACTGCGGCCGGGGACTTGCACCGGGAATGGGGGGCGGGGGGGGGGGGGGGGGGGGGAGAGGGCAGGACCGGGACCGGGACCCCCGCTGTGGGGGGGGCGGCGGGAGGCGCTCGCGCTCGCCGCCTCGCGCCCCGAGGAAGCGGATGCACCTGCGCCCCGCTCCTCGAGCGGCCGCCTGACGTCACAAACCGCCCGGCAGGGGAGGGGAGGGGGTGACGGCCTCGTGTCCGCGCGCGTGGCGGCGGCGGCGGCGGTGGTGGTGGTGGTGGGAAGCGCGTGAGGGCGCGCGCGGCCCGGGGGGCCCCGACGCCGCGAGGGCGCCCCGCCCCCGTGGCGCGTCATCAGCGGGAGGGGGGGGGGAAATAACGCACCGCGCGTGCGCAGGGCGGTGGCCGCCCGGGGTCGCGGAAGCTTCCGTGGGGTTTCCGCGGGAAGGGCCACGCGGCCGCCCCTCAGGGGCTGGGGGGGATTGGCGGGCGGTGTCTGCGCGCGGGGCGGGGGGGGGGGGGCGGCGCTCGCTGAGGGGACGGGGCGGGAGGGCGCCGAGGCGCGCGGTCTGCTCTTCGCCGTGACGGCGTAACTAGCTTCGTCGCAATTAGCGCGGTCCTTCGGCGCGGATTCACCGTAAGCCCCGTGTTTCGCCGCTCAGTGAGGGCCGCGTTAAGTGGAGCCGGTGCCTGCGCGGCCCGTGGGTCGTTCCCGCGGGTCCCCTCACACCAGCCATTGCAATCGGTCGCCCCGAATCCGAGAGGGGCGGGGGGGGGGATCCGGGCCGAGAGATGCGGGAGCGGGGGACGGGGGAGTCGCCGGCAGCTCGGAGGAATGTCAAGACACGAAATGTTGGCGGTGCCTTACACGGAGCCGCCGAGACACGCGTGGTGCGAAGGGGCCACGGCGCACAGCCGAGCCAGCGCCGCCGGGAAAGGAGGAGGATGCTGTGCTTGCTGCGCAGAGAGGGGAAGGGTTGAGAACACAAAAGCGGAGCGCTCGTGTGCGGTGATGAAGACAAAATGCAACAGTAAACAGCTGCCTCGGTTCTTTAACCTTGGGCTAATTTCTGACCCAAACAAGAGCAGGCTCCTCTGCTAAAATAGCATGTGACCGCACCATCAAAGGCCACCAGTGAACACAGAATGAGGGGTGACCGGGCCATCTGAATGGTACTGAAATTCAGGAGAGAATTCTGCAAGATGCTTTAAATGATTTTGAAGTGTTTGGAACGTGATCGGTTTAATGTTGCTGAAAGCAATACCAGAAATGCTGTTGAAATAAAGAGTTTCTGTTCATTGGAATGGGGGAGAGGGGAAGTAAAAGGACAATGCACGTATGTTTAGATTTGGTTCATCCACAAGATTTCCTTTTCTAAAATATTTAAAGCTAAAGCAATAGTTGCAGATGAAGAAATGCTAGTTGTTGGAACTGTAACAATTCCCGAAAACCAAAACTCGCCATTTCCCAATTTTGACATTTTTCCTTTAAAAAGCACTTCAAATGCATATGTGCCACCAATGCCTTTGTAACCCCACTCCTCCTTCTGGCCTCTTTCCCGACGATCACTTCCTTCGCTTTGGGCAAGTCGTGTTGTTTTGCTTTTATTCCTTCCTGATGAACTGGGTGGTGGGAGATAACTGTTGAGTTAAATTAACATCTGCACAGCGCTTTAAACATTTAGAGTCTTGAGTGTGTCAGTTTGTGGTGCAACTAGAACTTCCCTACAAAAAGCAGCATGCAGCTTGGGTCCAAGCAGGCAGTCTCACGCATCCCAAATCCTTATTTTGATACACGAGACGGCAGGCATATGAAATACATTCTCAAAGGTTTCTTTTACTTTAAAGCTCCAGAGTTTCTAGAATCAGGATCCAGAGCTGTGATCTTGCAGGAAGATTTCTAAAAACTGCCAGCTCTTCCCTAAAGTAACACGAACGCCTGTGTCCGAGGGTAATTCTCCTCTGGGTGAGGCAGCTGCACCTCATACGAATTGCGCTCCATTCATGGCATAAAGGCGGCAGTGAAGGAAGTCCTTGAAACTTGTGAGCAAGTACAAAGCGTTTACTCCGCAAGTTCCTCTTCAGGGAAACGTTACACGCAGCGGTGCGAGCATGAAAAGACTGGAGGATGTTTCCACTGAGTCCAGCAAATTTACATTGGAGCAAGAACGACTCTATTCTCTGATCAGTGAAGGGAACGGGTGTTAAAAGGTATTCAGAATGGCAGCGTATTTCTTAGTTCCCTCTAATAAAAATACAACATCTGAGTTGTGCATGATTTTGTATATATCTGCATAATTAACGCAACCAGCAGTACTGAAACCCCAGAGTGGTCTGATGATTGGAAGTATTTACAGGGGCATGTCTGCTGGGTTCCTTATCTACATATACATAGACATTAAAAAATTAAACATATTCCCCTGTCCTATGTCATTTTTTCCTAACTGTGTATTCTGACAACAAGCATTGGGCCACAGTATATTAGTACTGTGACATACATCTATTAATTAATAAAAAATATTCAGAAGAAATTATTAAAGTTAATTCACTTTCTTTTCTTGCCGTTGTGGATTTTGGGGTGACATTATAAGGATCCATGATCCAAACTGAGATTTAAAAAAATATATATATATTTTCTTTTGTTTTCCCAATCTGGGGAAAAAAAAAAAAAAAGGGGCCAAAGAGTTTTGACAGAAATGTCAAGCATGCATTTTATTATAGGAGCTAAGGAAAGAAAATAATTGTTTACAAGATCAGTATCATAGGGCTTGGAGAATTTCCATGAGGAGAGATACTGGGGAAGTGATGAATAGCTTGGAAACACTTCAGAGATTTTTTTTCTCGTTAAAACAATCATCTCTTAAATGTAGTTCACTTAAGCTGAAGCAAAATGTTACAGTTTAACAGTTTTGTGACTGTGTTACTGTTGTACAGTTTAACAAAATGTTACAGCTCAGTGGAATGAATTATATATTCAGCTTTAGAATCCAAACCAATGTTTGTTGTGGCAAAGGAAATTGTATTTGTTTTAAGAGTTTCCTACCTCAGCAAGGTCTTTGCTTCATATGGCTTTATTTTTAGGCAGCCAGAGTGAGGTTTTCATTTTATTTCTGATCTTGCAAACACAGATTTTCAATTTGCTTATGTTTTGAAGGAGTCAGAGAGCTTTCAACAGGTCATGCGTGTCGACTTCTCATAATGAGGACTGCTAGGAATACTGTCCGTTTAGTTCGGGAACAAGTGCAACAGCCATTTACCGGAGAGGTCTAGACAGAAAACAGCCTGCAAACCTGAGCAATCTTGGGTTTAGATAAATACCTGCTTTATGACCAGGTGGTCTTGAACAGAAATCTTTGGTCCTTCCCAAGGTCACACGTATTCTTGTGGCAAAGCGCTTTTTGCCTTGGGGAGACTGACGGAGAACACTGGAGCAGTTACAGGTAAAGTGATTTATTGCAGTAAAGCTGAAAAACTGTCATTTGATCAAAAAAAAAAAAATATCCCTGTCTTGTTGATTTAAAATGGAATCCGAATGCCTCCTTCATAGCAGATTGAAAATACTGTTTTTCCACAGTGGCTCGCGTGGATAAGGCATGACAGACCTCCCTGAACTGTCCAAGAAGGTGGTTGTGGGCTCAATCCAACAAGCATCGAGGAGGCAAAGGAAGCCGAGATCTATGGGAGAAAGCCCCAAAGCTGAACATTTCTCCTAGCACGAGCAGCAGGGAGGATGGCGGGTAGGGAAAAGTCAGAGGAGAGATGTCAAAGTGGGAACAAAAAAAGGAGGAGAGAGCGCTGTGTGGGAGCGAGAGGAAAGGGGAGGTGTTAGACAGCAGGCGGAAAGGGGAAATTAGCCTGATGGACCTGTGGCTGATGGAGTTACATGGCTTGTGCGGTGAGGGATGAGAAGAGAGACAGAGAGCGAATGACTTTTGTAACAGGAATGGAGGATCAGAGAAGCATACCGAATGAAGAGGACGGGGAACAAAGGGGGAGAACTTTTCTCAGAAAAAGGAGTAAGTAAAGGGAAGTTGAAAGAAAGTAAAACGGTTGTTAGGGTCAGGCACAAAAATAATCAATGTGAACGCAAATGTCTGAAGACAGCAGGAAAAAATGGAGAGAGGATAATCAAAGAAAAGGCCAAAGAAGTATGTGGAAACAAGGAAAGATGTAAGAACAGGATAAAAAAGTATCAACTGTGAGAAATCACACAGAAGACAGTATATGGGCTTGCAGCTCATTGTAATAGTCTGAACTGGAGGCAACAGATTTCAGGTCAGTACTGAATTCTCTGCTGCACCGTATGTTCTGTCTCTCCTTTTTTTTTTTTTTTCTCACTGGAGAAAACGTTGAACTGTTGGACTTTGCTAAATACATTTGCTGGGGGGTCAGCATGCCAGAGCCTCACGTGCCGTAGCCGGTCATTTCCGAGGGACGATGGTGGCCTGTGGTGTGTGCCAACGCCTTCTGCTGGAGCAGCTCCCCCCCAAACACCTCCTGAGCAGTGCTGCCTCCAGAAACCGGTGCCAGTCCCAGGCACCCCAGGTCTCCAGTAGAGAGCTGCAGTAGAGGTGCTGAGCAACCTGCCCCACGGCTTGTTTTCTTTCCATGGAGAAGCGATCTTGCCCAATCCCTTGCTGCGCTTGTTCCATCATGTGTGCATAAGCACTCCGAGACTTAGATCCTTGAAGGTTCCCCAAAGAAAATTAATTATTTATCCATTATTTACACCCCTGGCAAGCACCTTACTCCCCGACTATGGCACTGTGTGTGCTTGCTCTTATTCTCCTGCTGGAGCACTCTTACGTAGGATTGATTTACTCTTCAGTGAACCAGAAAGATGTTGGCAGAATAACTGATTTGATAGCTCAGTGATTCTGTCATGCTCTTGGTATGCAGGAGACCAAAACTTCTCTCTGGCCTAAAAAAGCATTACTCCTGACAGACTAGGAGGCACTACAGGGAGAACTAGGTGAAAAATTAATGTGGTTCTTGCTGTGGTTTTGTTTTGTTTTGTTTTTTATCTTTGTGTGTGTGTGGCAAGGACAAAAATACATGCTTAGAGA